GTGTGGAGGAGAGGGGGCGGAGGGCGTGAGGGAAGGGGCGCCAACTTCGAGGCGGGGCGGGGTGGGGGTGCTGCCCGGTTCTCCCTTTTTTTTCCGCAAATTTACGTTTTGTATTTCCATGGTAACCCGCTGGTGGGAAACGGGCGGTGCCTGAAATCGGTGGCTGTGCCTGGCAGGGAGGCGTTGGGCGCATGTGGAGGTGTCAGCGGTAAGCCAGGCTTTCCTGGGCCGCCCTGAGCACCGCCGTCGCGGCCCTCCCGCATGTGGGCTCTCTCCTTGCAGGTCACCGGCGCGCAGTCCCCAAGCACTGAGACCGGGCAGCTTTCTGTACGATGCGACGGGAAGAGATATGACGACGGCCTCACTGAGATACTCCCAGCGTGTTCTCGCTAAGGTACGGCCGGCTCCTGGCGCGGCACTGCTGCGCTCCTCGGGCACGGCTTTCAGTAAGCCTTTGGCGCTGGCGCGGGGAAGTACCGCTTGGAGCAAGTATTTGGGCTTTTCCTCTGTAATGCTGGTGCACGACGCCCGTGTTAATGGCGACTGAGATGGTCTGGGATATGGACAGCTGAAGGATTTGTTGGTTCTAAAAATCACTTAGGATTGTGATGGTTCTTGGGTTTGCAGATGTCCCTGAAATTACGTACGTAGACAAACATCATTTCTTGCCTTTCCTTATTGTAATTTTTCATAGTATGTTCTGTTAAGAGAAATACCTATATGTGTTTGTAAAATATCGACCTCCTGTACTCTCAGTGAAAAACTTTCTCTGACTTGACCATGGTATTTTATTGATTCTCTTTTCCTTCTCTGTTTTTCTTATATGCTCTAAATACTTCGGATTTATGCTACAGAACATCACATGACCTCAAATGTGTAAAGTACCTGTTTTTAAAGTACTTCACAATATTTATTTGACTACAGATTGGCACATAGGGGTTTTTTGAGAATTTTAAAGCGCAGGTGGTGTATTGACTTTATTGCCATACTTGTACCCTATCTGGTGGAGTCCTGAATGAGAAGGCAGCCCATGGACTTTCGTGCAGCTGTGGCCCTGTGCAACCACAGCTGCTTTGCAGCCCTGTGAAAAAACGCTCTAACTAAAAAACCTGACTGCAGTATGTTAATTGTTGCAGTGCTGCAGTAATTACTACTTTAGCCTGAGAGCCAGTGTGACTCCCAAACTGTAGTATAGACAAAAGCTATAGTTCCCTTGAAATCCTCTGGGCATGGGATGGTGCTTCTGTTGAGTAGGAAAACAATGCCTAAAATGAACTAATTGACAGGAGATCTACAGCTGTCTAAGCAAAAGCCGCTGTGCATCATGTGGGCAGCCTCACTGGTGAAGTCTGAAGGCCGGATGCTGAGAAGGAGCTCTACCTCTCCTGTCACATCTACCAGCCATAGATAGGATCTGTCTTGGGTGTCCCTGCGTCTCCAGTACTGCCTTTCTCTGTAGTAGGAGTCTGGCACGTGTGTGGAGGAATTTTGCCTTCCTGTTGACCGCACAAACTTCATGGGAGGAGAAGGGCATGTACCTTCCCAAGGCTGAACAGGAATATTGTTTGCCTGAGAAGTGTCAGGAGCCACTAGAGAGTGGAGAAGCAGACCGCAGACTTACTCTCTGGCAGTTTGGGTGGGAAGAAGTTGGGAAATAGAAACGATACCTACACGATTCCTCTTTTGGGGCAGCAACTCTGTGTGGAAGCCACTTCTGCTTTCCTTCTTCAGACTTTTGGGGAAATGAGGACCTGCAAGTTTCTCCAGAAGAAGAATGAAGGGCTACAAGCATCTTCTCATCCTTCCCTTTGGGAGGCTCAGTTTTATTTTGGTTTCTCTTTTTTTTTTTCCTCCTTTTTAGCACTTTTTTTTTTGTTTATTCCTTGTCTTTATTTTATGAATGTAGCATAAAGAGAGAAAGGGTGACCATAAATGGATGTTCTACATATATATTTCTGGGGCATCATATGATTAAGTCCAAAGAAGTACTTACCAGCAGATCTAAGATTTGTCTTCGCCATATTTTTAAAGTTTTGCACCCACTTCACCTAGGTGCTATGTTTAAAAAAAATAAATCTGAGTGTAATCTTTTCAAAAGAGAAAGAATCCTTACTGTATTTCCCTCATAGTAAAAAATGGCAGATCCATTTACTGATCAGGTGCTCCAAAATACTTATCTTTGGATGGCAAAAAAAGCTAGAATATTTCAACTATTAATGTGGTTCTTAGAAAGCACCCACTTTGGATACGGAAAGGTGTGTGTTTAAGACGGGTTATTAAAGTTGAAGTGGCATATCTGGTGCCTTGCAATATGGCAGAGTTCCTGTCAGTTTTATGCAGTTACTGTAAGCAGTGGTGTTTATTTTTTGGCATTCTAAATGTAGCATAACCATTCTGTTTTTACATTTCTATAAATACTTATTATTCTTGTACAGGAAAGCTATTTAAGGGATGAAAAGGCAGGGATGTGAGTAGAGGTGATCTTTTGATCTTGGGTTGGGCAGGTGTTAACACTGCAAGAACTGTCAAGAAACAGGTGATACTTTGTTGCTCACCAGGGTAAAGTTTGGATGGTCTCATTTGCTGAGTACTTGCCCTACAGAGTGACTTACTGCCTCCCATTAGTGGACTGGCATCCTCTTGTCAAGGCTGCTCAGTAAGACTTGCAATGAGGTATGCTGTGCCTGCTTCTGGATAATCTGGTCTCAGCAATTTGCATGATGTCAAAGCTGTTAAATAGTTTTATTTGGCTCTTTCATAACCACTTGCAGTTGTTCAGGGCTTTTGAAAGGCACAGTTCTCATGAAAAATCACGTTTTCAGAAAATTAGTTTCAAATTAACAAATTGATCCTGACCCTGCTGAAGATAGCAAGTGGAGACCCTGCACAGGGAAACTGGCCATTGACGCAAATTGCCGTGAGATTCTGTCAAACCCCTTTTGTAAAGTCAGGACCTTAGTGTTACCATTTTTGCTCTGACTGGTGCAGTTCTTCTGCCTTTCCTCAAAATGTCACCGCTCTGCGGTCTCTGCCTTTGACAGACTTCTAGCTGGAATGCCTGCCGGGGCTCCTTGATCTTTGTTCAGCTGCATGTACCTCTGTGGAGCTATACGAGATGCTCATATTTCACCATTTTCCAAGGCGATCATGCACACGGTAATGCTGATGCCTGAAGAAAAAGAGTACAAAGAGATTGCACTTTCATCTTGTGTGATAGTGTGGGCAACTAACCACAATGCCTTTTCAGAAAATACGTTTTTATTGCTTTGTTAATTGTTTCTGAATGATTCTGCCACCCTTGGCATGGAAGAACTTGATGCATAATGACCTAAATAGCTGTAGGTCTGTTCCTCCAATACAGAAGCTGCCTTCCAATTTCAAATTAGTGTTCAGCATTGGGAAGTTAGGTTTCCAGATGAGAGGAAGTGCATTTGGTACAGTGGGTATATCACAGATACTTCATTTAATTGTTTTATTCTATACCTGAATAAAAGTGAAATACTACTTTTAAGATGGTTTGTCTATAGGGAGATAAATTGCATTCCAATTTTTGAAAAAAAGTGTTACACTTGGTTATTTTTCTAAGTAACTTGTATGTACCTGCATTCAAATAACAGTACATTATTCAGTAATGGGATTATTCAGCGATGGGTTTTTTTGGGGGTAATTTTTTTCAAAGGATCTGATTCTTGAAAGAAGTGAAGCTCAACTAAAACTTTATTTTTTTCCAAATCTACTGTTCAGGTGACTTTAGCTGGGGAGGGCAAAAGAAACCAGTACAAGATATAATAATATGAATACCTGTTTTACCTGCTTTGTAGCCTACCCAGAGTGCTTTGCAGTGGGGATGCAGCTGTCCTGTTCTTTCTTTGTAGTCAGATTACTTTTTTTCTTGCCTCTTTCCCCATTTGAGGAGAGCATTTTGAGATGGCATTACGAAAGAGATGATTTAAGGGGAGGGTGGTGGTGTTACTCTTTAAGCTGTTCGAGTGCTCTTGTTTTTCCACAGTCCTAATTATGCAGTTTACTAAGAAAGTAGCACAGTCTGGCTCAGCTCAGCACCGTCTGAGGAATTACAGAATACGTTGGATTGTAACAGTACACATGGCTGAGCAGGGCTGATGAGAAATGCAGACAACACATACGTAGCTTCCTTGTCAGATTGCTTTTGTCCCGGCAAGGCTGAGCTGGATGGTCATCACTCATGCTAACTTTGCAGAAAAGATGTACCCTCAATGTGGGAACATGAGATTGGGGATGTGTAGGATGCACTAAAATATGTGTGTGTTTATGAATACAAATACACAGGTATTTATTAGGCTTTTGGAAAGGCTGGGCTGACACAGGCTCCTCTCCAAGTTGTGTCTTATGAGGAGCGGCTGAGGGAACTGGGGGGCTTTAGTCTGGAGAAGAGGAGGCTGAGGGGAGACCTCATCGCCCTCTACAGCTACCTGAAAGGAGGTTGCAGGGAGCTGGAGGTGAGTCTCTTGGACCAATAAACAAGTGATAGGACAAGAGGGAATGGCCTCAAGTTACGCCAAGGAAGGTTTAGACTGGGTATTATAAAGTATTTCTTTCCAGAAGGGGTTGTTAAGTCTTTGGAATGGGCTGCCTGGGGCAGTGGTGGAGTTCCAATCTCTGGAGGGATTGAAGAGTCAGGTTGACCCAGCACTGAGGGATATGGTGGAGTTGGGAACTGTCAGTGTGAGGTTAATGATTGGACTGGATGATCTTCAAGGTCTTTTCCAACCTAGATGATTCTGTGTAAGGAGGTTTCATGTTGGAGTGGTCACCAGATGTAGATGGCTTACCATGGGGACAAGTCACAGCTGTTCTCTGAATAGCCTTGTCCTCCCACTGACAGTCATCTGCTTCCTCCTCTAAAAGCCCAGGGTGGAAATAAGTATTCAGAAAAAGCTTGGGTTAGCAAAACAGCCTCTGCAGCCTTAACCTCATTCTCTGAAAGTGCTTAAACATTTCTGCTTAAAGCAAACCGTCTTGGCTCCCCCACTGGAAGAGGGAAGTCTGTCTTGGGGCATAAGGACAAACAAGGAAATTTCAGCCTGAAGAATTAGCTAGTTGAAAGAAATTGAAAGCTTGCGTTGGTCCAGGCTGGTTCACATTGTCGTAAAAAGGTGATGTGTACTTTGCTCATACCGTGGTTTCCTTGTTACCAGGTTAAATCCTGTTGATTTAGCAAAACCAGCTATGTAATTATGAGTGGGAAACCTAAACTTCTGAGGACAGAATAAATATATTAGGCCAATAACGGGCATGTTGTTGGCTGTTGAGGTCCTGGAAGGAATCTCTTGTGCATTTTTCTCTTTTAGTGATGTTTTGGGTATTCTTAATAAGTATCTTTGGTATTTATCACTTCTAGAAATGGTGAAATATTTTGCTTTAGTGTGACTTGTGGGTGGCTTCTGATGGTTTTCTATTACAAAGGGTGTTAGGTAACCAGAACAGTGCTTTAAAATGTTTGGATTTCACTCTGTTGTCAGACAAAGCCATGAAAAGCAGCAGGGACTTTAGCATGCCATTTGTGTTCACAAGCTTCTCCTTGCCTTACCTTTGGGATGCAGAGTGTACCTCTTGAAAAGTACCTAGTGGTGTCCAAGTGTGGCTCATTGTGGACAACATGGA